CCTTGAGGGCTGGGTTGTGAAAGAGCTGCGTGCCCCGGTGCCCAGCTGGCAGGGGTGGGACACGCTGACCTCCTCTGGCGCCGGCTCTCGGCAGACTCCTCAAAGGATCTGAAGCTGCTGATCAAGAGCCTCCTGGAGTTGCTGACCTGGGAGGAGGCATCGGCACACGGCCGTGACAACGCGCTCAACCTGCTCATCCGAGCTGTGCCCCGCAAGTCGCCGCGGGAGCCCAACAACAGCCTCACGCTGTGGGTGATCGACCAGGGTAAGGGCAGCGGGCCGAGACGCCCAGAGCCCAGCCTGGCACCAAGCACCCTGTCCAGCCCTGGGCAGGCGCTGGGTCCAAGTCCCCAAGCGCTTCCCCTGCGTTCTGGGCTGTGACCCTGCCCCTGAGCGTGCGTTCACATCGCGGCAGGGCTGAAGAAGATCCTGGAGGTGGGGGGCACGGTCCGCAGGGCCGCCGGGAGCCTGCCCGTGACCGAGAACAGCTGCATGAGTGCCGCCGTCCTGCTCAGCAAGCTCTACGGGGACCTCAAGTGCGACGCGGAGCGCGAGAACTTCCACCGCCTGTGCGAGGACTACGTGAGGTGAGGGGCCTGGCGGCGGGGCTGGGCGCTGCGCTGGAGCCCCGGGCATGGGGGAGAGGGGTGGGGAGGGGGCTCCAGCGCTCGGCTGCCAGGAGCCTCCCGTTGGGCTGCTCAAGAGCCTGGCTCCGTGCCATTTGTCATCGTCACCGTCCTCGTCGGGTGTTGCTGACGCGCTCCGGGACCGTGGTGCTGGCAAAAAGTCGCAACTGGGAGATCCCAGCACCAGTCCCGTCTTAAAGAACGACCACAGGCTCCGCTCGGCGGCAAAGGCTCCCCCAGGTTTATTATCCACAAGGCGCGGCCCCAGCACAGCTGGGATCTGACAGGGTGTGAGGATGTGCCTGCCTGTGACGGGGCATCGGCACCACCGCGCAGGCTCCCCTGGGTCAGGACGAAGCTCCCGGGCTTTCCGGTTCTCCTTTTGCACAGCGGCCAAAGCAGATGACGCGTCGCCTTCTGCCTGTGTCTTGAATATCTGGAGCTGTCCTGAGCGTGCCAGGCTTCTGTCCCTGCACCACCTCCTCTGCTTCTCCCCTCACCCACTTATCCATGCTCTCCCTGTCCGTGCCCCCACACAGGTCCTGGCGCCTCCTGGTCAACTTCCTCCAGGCTCTGGCCAAGCTAGTGACCTACCTCACCAGGGAGGAGGCTCTGGCTGGGGTGCCCGGGGACTGCAGGCCCCCTTCCTGCCCCTGGTGCGATCCTGTCTCCAGGCAGTTTCTCTGGGCTGCGTCCGCTGGGTCCTTGGACCCGCTCAAGGGCGAGTGGGCGCTGTGCGGTGCGCTCTGCTCCATGTCCCACCTCCACGCACTTGTTTTAAGCCTCTGACCTCGCTCCTGTCCTTGTTATGTCTTCAGTTGTCAGCTGTGTCTACCTAGCAGCCTCCTCTTTGAAGGCAAGTTTATAGCGTGTCCCCGTGGGCATCCGCTTGCATTCCTTGGGCAGCAAATAGGCCTGATCAGGGTGTTCTCGTTGCAGCCTTGCCACCCTGGCACTGCGCTACCCCACACCTTGCACAGCCGTCTCCCCCTCCCATCTCCCGGCCCGCAGGCCGAGTTTTGCTTGCGTTAGGAGTTTGTGCCTGGGTCAGGTTTGCTGCTCAGACGCGCTCGAGCCAATGCTGTAGCACGTGGGTCAGTGCACGCCGCTCAGGCACTGGCAGCCAGGCTCTGCCCCCTCTCAGCCAGCCAGCCCCTCTGCTGAGCGTGTCTGGCAAGCGAGGGGGACGGAGCCTGCGCCCACCCAGGCCTCAGCTGCGCTGTGCCCAGTGCTGAGGTTGGGGTGGATGCTGTGATGGGAAGTGCTGGGCCTGCCGTGTGCCATGGTGCTGGGGTGTGGCTGGCGCCGTGGGGAGCCCTGGCCTCCCATCCTGTTGCTGCCCCCGCAGGAGCTGGTTCGATGGGCACGGGCTGGCCGGGAAGCTGCGGGCCATCCAGACGGTGTCGTGCCTGCTGCAGGGCCCTGCGGAGGCGGGGAACCGGGCACTGGAGCTGGACGGCATCATGGAGAGCGTGCTGTCACTGTGTGCCTCCTCGCACGAGGCCGACCAGCTGGTGGCCGTGGAGGCCCTGATCCACGCGGCCGACAAGGCCAAGCATGCCTCCTTCATCACCGCCAACGGCGTCACCCTGCTCAAGGAGATCTACAAGCACAGCGAGCGTGACAGCATCCGCATCCGCGCCCTGGTGGTGAGGCCACGGTGCCCTGGGGGTGGCAAGGAGGTGGCGGGGCTGGCGGCTGGGGAGAGCTGCTGGTGCTCAGTGCCCAGAACCGCCAGGCTCTGAGCAAAGGCGGGGCTGGGGGTGCAATGGCAGGGGAGTGTCAGGGCAGCTGGCCCCACTGGATCGGTGAGCCTGTCCCGGCAGGGCTCCTGGGTGAGGCCAGGGGTCAGGAGCTGCACGGACAGGGCGGTATCGCTGGC